GCTGCCCCCACCACTACCATCGACGACCCGCCGCCCCCACCGCCCTCTACTCCACAGTCGGCGCCCCTACCCTCTCCTTCTCTCCTCTCCCTACATCCCAGATCCATTCGAGTGACATATATGTATGTGGTGTGGAATCAGTCCAGCTCACTGCCACTCCCGCACCTCCGCCTCGCCGCCGGTCGGACCTAGGGTTTCGAGGTAAGCAAGCGGCTCCCTATCGCCAGGCTCCTTCGTCGCACACTCTCTCCGCCGCCAATTTACTGACGCCCTTTTAGATTTGGGGTTTTGTCGCGCAGGGATTTCAGGGGGCAAGAAGGGAAGGGGAAGGGTGCGATGGCGGCGCCGGGGGGAGGAGGGTGGACTTCTCCTCGGGCGCGTCACCAGGGGGGCCGTCGCCGGTGGGGGCGTCATCCGCGGGGAGGCGGCTGCTGCGCACGCAGACGGTCAGCAACATGGGGGAGTCCATCTTCGATAGCGAGGTGGTGCCCTCCTCGCTCGTCGAGATCGCGCCCATCCTCCGGGTCGCCAATGAGGTCGAGGCCGGCAATCCGCGCGTCGCCAACAAGAAGAAACTGGCTCTCCGTTGCCTTCCTCTCCCCTCCAACCGCCAACAGAGATGGCCCAGGCGGAAGCTCCCTTCCGTGCGTTCGTCCTCGGACAGGCCATCGAGTTCTTGAGAGCGAACGAACAGATGGCCTTCTGCGTGCGGCGACTAGAGGTACGCGGTGTGAATCTTTGATTCTTCTCCATCTCTTCCACCTGGCCGTCTCTGATCCTACTCATTCCCTTCCCGGCCATCGCCTCCATCCAATGTAGCTGCTGCGCGAGCCACCTGTTCGACGGAATGGCTGCAAGGGCCAAGGCTAGTAAAGCCAAGAAAGTGGCAGTTGCTGGCGGCAAGGACTGCTTTGAGGACCTCCCGGAGCCTATGCTCGAGCTGCTGATGTCGTTCCTGCCCTCGCGGGATACCGTGAGGATGTCCGTGCTCGCTCGCCACTGGCACACCCTCTGCAAAGGCTCGAGAGGGTAATTTTTACAACCACTCACCTCCTATTCATCATCTTCGTTTATCCATGTTCCCCAATTTATCACTTCTGGCTGGGGACAAGGAATGTGAGCTTCTAATTGACTCCTTGAGCTCGATGTTTGTGCAGGAGAACGACCCCACCCTCAAGGAGAGGGTGCACCAGAGAGACGTGCGCGAGATGCAGCGCTTCTACCGCGAGTACTACAAACTACTTCCGCGAGATGTTGCTCAAGTAGACGTGACATATATTATGGTATGTATGCACACTGATGTACTACAAACAGCATCTTAATAGATTATTGCGTAGTCACTGATGTGTATGCATACTTGGAACATTATGGTATGTATGCACACTTGAATGGTAGTAACTTGAATGCATCAATATTTGTGCTATAGAGTTGTTTTCCAAGCTAGTTCTATTTACTCTTAATATAGGTCTATTAGTCACCAATACTTTTCCTGCTATGCTAAAATGGGAGGTTGATTATGCTCTCTCCAAATTTGTGACCAACACAACACAAATACTCCAGTACTGGTGCAGTACATCTTGGAGTATCTTGGTTGCAGTATCTTGGAGTATCAACTTGCAGCATATGGTTAGAGTAGCATCTTGCAAGGTCTTGGATTACTCCAGTACTGATAGTTACAGGAGCATCTTGCAAAATGGAGTATTTGTGCTTCAACAAAATGGAGTAGCACCTTAAAATGGATAGTTGATGCTTTTTTCATTTTTCTTCTGAATTTTCTCCACAAGTCAAGATAGGATAGTTGAGGCACAAGATAGGATAGTCTACAAAATGGAGTACACTGAAATTTGGTGTACACTGTTAAGCGTTTTTATTGCACATTATGAAGCTTTTTTATTGCACACAGTATAAATGAATTTGGTGTACGCTGTGAATAAAAGCTCCTGATATTTGAAGCTCTAGTTTATGATCTGCTACTATTGTCAGTACTTGCCTGAATTGCTACAGTTCTACTCCTATTTACAGTTTATGATCAATTTATTCCAATTTACAGTTCTACTAAAATGCTACAGTTGTCAGTACTCCTATTTACTCCTCCTCCACAATTTATGCACACTAGCTTTCTCTCATGATCCTTTATTGTTTGTGCTTTCAGTCTAAATGGCAGAGGTTCTTCCTAAATTTCTGGGGTCCATTCATAGTAAGCAATAAGAAGATAAAATCAATGATAATGTTCGTCTCCTACACTCCTATGACACTCATATGTTTACTTCAACAGCAGTACATTTTAGGGTCAAAATATTCTCCTGCTGCTACAGAATTTGTTTAGTGAAGTTGCAGTAGCAGCATGAGCAATTGCTTGGTTAATCTTGCTTGGAGTAGCAGTTGTAATATTGCTTGGAGTAGCAGCATTGAGCTTCTGCAGTAATTTTCCAGTAAAATTTGCTTGGAGTAGCAGCAATAAAATTTGCTTGGAGTATTTAACAAGATTGAACTATACTCAGTGATGATTACCATGGAGTAATTGCTTGGAGTAACTATACTAAAGATGCAGTCGCAGTAGGATTAGTTGCTTGGAGTATGTAACAAGACTGAACAAGATTTAACTTGTCAAGATTTAACAATATTTCTCAGTAAAGCTGAGTAGAGTATATATTCTAAACATGCAAGCATAAATATTCTCAGCATAAGTACATGAGTAGGAGTATCATGCTTCTGAATATCTCCAAGCTGGATATTTCCATTAAACATGTTTCTGAATACCTCCCATATATATTTCCGTTAGTCTGCTTAGTGCATCATTAAGATTATAAGCATCATTTTCACTTAATCCTGGTTACATATTTGTGTGTACTCAAGTTGAAAATGGGACTTGGAATAATATGCAAGTTTCATCTTTTCTATTGCAGCGAGTGGGTCGGTTATGCACTGGCACCATCCTTGCTACTAGCGGTGGGTGCGATGGTCCGGGCCAAGCAGAGAAAGATAGGTGAGATATGCTCAGAGGTGATCATCGACAAGTCCTCGAACAAGATGACGATGGAGAGTATAGTGGAGGCACAACACATCATGAAGAAGGTGCACAAGTACGTCAAGACAACGAACATTGTGATCCTCAGGCTATGGTCCATTATTCTAGCCCGGTCACCAAAGGTATATATCATTGCACACTAGTCTTGATCATTGACCATCCTTTGTGTAATGTTGGGGTACCGTCCGTCACATATGGTTCTGGACTATCCTGTTTTGTGTAATGTTCATTGTGCTGATCATTGTTTCAGTTAAATTCAGTCCAAATTCAGTCCAGGAGTACTCCAAATTTAGTCCAAACATAGTCCAGATATTGTTTTGGTTTCCTTGTACTCCAAATTCATTCCAAACACAGTCCAGGAGTATAAACAAGTTTACAGATTCAGTCCAATTTCACTTGTGCAGGAAATTCACCTGTGCGGCGGTGGCGGGGAAGGAGCAGCACCGGCAGCCCTGACAGAGGAAGCCATGTTGCCGTTTTGTTTGTTCCCAGCCTTGACTATGGTTGTCCAGCGAGTCCGGCATGTCGTCATTTTCTTGTAAAGGAGTATTGTATCACACTTGTAGAGCTTGTTACACATGTAGATCTTGTAAAGTACTGTATTACACATGGTCATATGTATTGGCAAATTGATCTGGTTGCTCTTATTTGAAGTATCATGTGTGCTTTTGTCTGCCAAGTTAAATACTGATTGAAATATGAAGAATATGAGCCTGATAGATGGGACTCACTTACCATACCCAAACCTGACAACTGGGACCCATCTGACTGGTGGACCCATTTAATAAAAAAAGGAAATTAAAATTATTTAGACGAAAAGGCCAAGGCCCAATAATAAAAAAGGCTGCAATGTTGGGCCAGGCCCATGAAGTCGACCAAAAATTGACATAAAAAATATATAGAAAGGCTCAATTAATGGGCTAGGCCCATGTAGAAAACTGAATTGGACCGGGCTGATTCTTGTGACACATCAGCTTGCCACGTTGGATGCCTGCATGGCCTGGGGAGGTTGCTAGTGACCAAAACGCCACAGTGGACATATTTTGGTCATAAACGTCTACGACCATTCCAGAAGAAAGGTCGCTATAGTCAGTTAACGACGGCCATCTTTTGACCTTATGTTTTTGGTCACAAAAGGTCACAAATTGAAAATAGTGACCATTCAGTGACCAATAGTGGTGGTCACAAGTTGACATATTTCTTGTAGTGGCACTCGCGCACACTCAGCACACAACACACACCAGCACACGTGTACACCAGTGTCGCTGTCGGTTGAGATGGACGGCGAGGCAGCCAACAAGCTGAGGCGGCTCGAGCCAAAACCGCATCCGGCGAGCCTGGACTTCATTAGCAGCCTCCCCGATGACATGCTGCTCGTCATCATCGGCCTCCTCCCACCAAATCTTCCGTGCGGACCGCCCTAATCTCCCGACGGTGGCGCCCCCTCTGGCGCTGCGTCCCCCTCAACCTCACCATCGATAGCTGCCTCTGCGACGGGGATTGCAAACACATGGCCGCAGTCTCCAAGATCCTTTCATCGCACCCTGGGCCAGCCAGACGCCTTGACATACGCATGTTCAGTACCAACTGCAAGGTCTAACCCAAGTTTGACAAGTGGTTCTTATCCCCTGCCCTAGATCAGCTCGAGGAGCTCAGCTTTGAAGCTAGACGATGTCGCTCTCTGCCGCTGTCCGCGCTCCGCCTCACGCCAACGCTGCGCCGCGCCAGCTTTAGCTCCTGCTATCTTCCCCAGATTAATGTCGCGCCCGCTCTTATTCTCTCTCAACTCAAGCAGCTCGACCTCTTCGACGTTGTCATCTCGAAGAAGGCTATGGAGCACCTGCTCCGCAGCTGTACTGCGCTCGAGTACCTTCGTCTTGAGTAGATCCACGGGTTCAGTAGCCTCCACATCGCCTCGACGAATCTTCGATGGATTTATGTGTCTTGCTGGCCCCGCAACAAGACATCAATTGGGAAGAGATCACTCCAGCTATTCCACGTTATGGTCATTGAGAATGCGCCTTTCCTTGAGAGATTGCTTGTATCGGATCTAGAAGGTCCAACAAAAATCAGGGTCATTGACGCGCCGAAATTGACAGTGTTGGTCTACAAATTCTCGAAACTCTTTATTGGATCCATAACCATTCAGGTACAACACTCATTTTGTTCTCCATCTTCTTGAAATTCACATTTTTAAATTTCTTCTTGATGTATTTACGGCCGTCTTCCAGAAAATGATTCCCTCAAGCTTGACCCAGTCCATGCGCACAATGAAGATCTTGGCACTAAAATCTATCGGCCCCAATCTGGATCAAGTTGTTGGATTCCTTACATGCTTCCGTGCACGGAGAAGCTACTCATCGAGGTGAAACTTCTTTCCTATAAGTAAACGGTAATCACAACGTAGCTCAATTTTTTCATAATTTTCCCAAATTATGATGACAAGTGTAGTGTTCAAAACTGCATCTACGCACTGCACCGAAAGAAATGTTTTTAGTATTTTTTTCTCACGTGATCACCTGCATCGTTTTTATGCTGTACTACTATAGTAGCCTAGGCTAGTCATAGTGGAAAGTAACTTAGACTACTCCAGTAACTCTATGGTTACCCTAAGAGCAAGTACTACCTCCGTCCTGGTTTACTCTTCCAATTTTGTAGTATCAAAAATTTTACCATAGATTTAACTGACAAAATGTTAATGCATGCCACTAAGAACTATATCGTTGGATTCATATTTGAACATAATTTCAAATGGTGTAATTTTTAGTGACATGCATTGGCATTTTCTTAGGTAAATCTATGGTCAAAATTTTATACTAAATACGAGGTAGTATTCCCTCCATCCCAAAATTCTTGTCTTACATTTGTTTAAATACAGATGTATCTAACACTAAAATGTAACTAGATACATCCGTATTTAGACAAATTTAAGACAAGAATTTTGGGACGGAGGGAGTACAAAAGTGGGCTATGTAGGCCAAAACGCGTGCCAAATTCACTTGTGATGCATTTGGCATCGATGCCCCTCCAGTACTCACCTGGTGCCCCAATCTGGATTACCTACTTTGCTCCGGTGCCAAATTAACTCACGCAATGAAAAAACACTATGTGGGAGATAGAGAGGACTGAGGCAATAAAAACACTTGTTTGGGAGAGTGAGAGGTTGGTGTAGTTGGTTTAATTGATTTGTTTATACATGTGGGTCTGTGTGCACAGCGGTGCCAACTCTCTCACATCACGAAGCGGTGCCAAAATCTTTTGATTTGACATCAATGCGTATTATGTGGCATACTTTTGCGAAATATGGCATCGGCCACATAGTGGAAGGCAACAAATTCCCAAGCTCTTCACGTGCTCCTAGTTAAATGAGAGGAAACAGAAAGAGAGAGTGAAAAAATATCACTAGCCAGCCAACCCTATCGTATAAGCGAATGATATTGGTACCTCTTAATGACACGGCAATCTTATACAGCCAGCTGCTCTAATATGTTCTCTTCTTTTGCAGATAAAAAAGACCCAAAAGTGAAAAATGTGCTGCACTATAACAATCTCATCGAATGCCTTGATCTCCATCTTACAGAAATTGATTTGATCGACTATCGAGGCAGCACATCTGAGATTAAATTGGCCAGGTTCTTTGTCCTGGAGGCAAGTCTGCTCAAGGTAATGAGGTTTGGTGGTCTCTGGCACAACAATGAATGGCGTGCTGAAGTGCCTAACAGTCGGGACCCACCTGGTCAAAGCGTACATAGCATTGTCATTCTGGTCGCGAACGTGTACGTACATACTGGTGGATGCAGAGGCGCACACGTGTTGTAGTAGAGGCGTGTACGTATCGTAGTAGAGGCGCGCACGTAGCATGTACACGTACGTACAACGGCCAGTATGCAAGAAAGAAAATATGGCCCCGTATGTGTACAAATGGGCGGGGTCTCGAACGCCTACTCGCGCATACGTACGGCCAGGGCTCGTGTACATGGCTGGCTCGGAATGGAGAAACCACGTCGTCGTCATGTTCATGGGGAGGCACCGTAATGCATCGTGTTCATGGGGAGGCAACGGAATGCGTCGTGTTCATCGGGAGGCAACAGAACGCGTGGGAGCCAACCGGCTTGGACGGAACAAGCGATGGAAACGAGGCATGGCGTACCGCCGAACGGAGGAAATGGCCTCGTGTTCGACCGGCCATGTTCGAAACGGGATCCTGTTCATCGGGAGGGGTCTGGCGTACCGCAAAACGGAGGAAACGGACCTCCTATGGTCGAAGCAGGGGTCGTGTTAATCAGGAGGGGTATGGCATGCTACGTCTTGAGCTTGCGTTGGTTTTCCTTCAAGAGGAAAGGGTGATGCAACAATAGTAGCGTAAGGATTTCCCTCAGTTTTTTAGAACCAAGGTATCAATCCAGTAGGAGGCAATCTAGTAGGAGGCTCCTCAAAAGTCCCACGCACCTACACAAACAAACAAAGAACTCGCAACCAACACAATAAAGGGGTTGTCAATCCCTTCACGGCCACTTGCGAAAGTGAGATCTGATAGAGATAGTATGATAAGATAAATATATTTTTAGTATTTTATAATATAGATGCAAAAAAGTAAAGATGCAACTAAAAGTAGATAGAAAGCAAATATGATAAAAGATAGACCAGGGGGCCATAGGTTTCATTAGTGGCTTCTCTCAAGATAGCATAAGTATTTCGGTGGGTGAACAAATTACTGCCGAGCAATTGATAGAAAAGCGAATAATTATGAGATTATCTAGGCATGATCATGTATATAGGCATCACGTCCGCAACAAATAGACTGACTCCTGCCTGCATCTACTACGATTACTCCACACATCGACCGACTCCTGCCAACATCTAGAGTATTAAGTTCATAAAGAACAGAGTAACGCATTAAGCAAGATGACATGATGTAGAGGGATAAACTCAAGCAATATGATATAAACCCCATCTTTTTATCCTCGATGGCAACAATACAACACGTGCCTTGCAACCCTTTCTGTCACTGGGTAAGGACACCGCAAGATTGAACCCAAAGCTAAGCACTTCTCCCATTACAAGAAAAATCAATCTAGTAGGCCAAACCAAACTGATAATTCGAAGAGACTTGCAAAGATAACTCAATCATACATAAAACAATTCAGAGGAGATTCAAATATTTCTCATAGATAAACTTGATCATGAACCCACTATTCATTGGATCTCGACAAACACACCGCAAAAAGAGTTTACATCGAATAGATCTCCACAAGAGAGGGGGAGAACATTGTATTGAGATCCAAAAAGAGAGAAGAAGCCATCTAGCTAATAACTATGGACCCAAAGGTCTGTGGTAAACTACACACAACTCATCGGAGGGGCTACGGTGTTGATGTAGAAGCCCTCCATAGTCGATTCCACCTCCAGTGGAGCACTGGCAAAGGCTCCAAGATGGGATCTCGCGGATACAAAAGGTTACGGCGGTGGAAATTGTGTTTCGTTGGCTCCCTAGATGTTTTCGGGGTACGTAGGCTTATATAGGAGGAAGAAGTACGCCGGT